ATATAGCAGTTGAATTCACCTTTGCTGACTTCACAAATTTTACTTGCATTAACAAAAAACTCCTGGATAACAGAAACCACAAGCTGAATGTATAACATATATGGAAACATCAAAAGTTGGTCAACCGTATAAATGATATCAGGGTCAAGTCTAGTAGGTAAAGGATCTCACATCATCCCATGCAGGAGAAAAGCATATGGATAAACAGAACTTATGATTGTGAACCTTAAAAAGCAAGAACCGTGAATAGTCAAATCGTCTATGCATTATGGCAATGCAGGGTGAATGATACTTAATTATCTACCATAATTTCAGTTCACTCGCAAGTATAACCGCTACAACAAGAGCCTTTTTCTCATGATATGCAGTCAATATTAAGAAACACGTGTGTGTGTGTGTGTGAAGCTGTATAAAAGCAGAGCCTTTAAAGAAAAATTACTAAAATACACACATGTAGAAACAGTTAGCAAATCACACATGCTGAAACTGATAGTTAGGATAGGAACAACTTACTATTTTGTCGCCTGGAGAAGTCTGTTTTAAATTCTTTGGAATTTGGAAGTCAGTCAGATAAGCCTCAAATCCTGGCTATAGTTCCACAAAATTGGACTACACCATCAGCAGTCAAATTAAGATGAGATCATAACTGGAGCTGTAAACGGAGGGGTATAACTACCTTGACTTCTAGAGAAACAAACACATGGCCCATTTTCAATTTTGGGTAGAACCTGCATGCATAAATACAGACAAAATACTCTCAATTGCAAGTATCAAAAGCGACTTTAACCTAATTACAAATGGTATCATCGATAAAGAGAAAACATAAATGATACGCAAAGCATCAGCTGGTGAATATGATTTGGTAATATCCAATTGTTCTTCCAGCTCAACCAGAGTCGGCACTTCATTGGAAGTTATTATGAAACACGCATAATACAAAATGAGAAAGATGCAATACACTGACACAACACACACACACACATACACACACATATATGTATATAGGTATAACAATGTAAATTGAAGCAAGAATAGAAGCTTCCATGGCAACATGTTACACATAACAGTAGCAAACAATAAACAAAATTCACTCTCCCTCCAGCTCCAATAACATTAAGAAGTATGCAATAAACAACTCACACTAGCATGTGAAGTTATCCTTCAAAATCGTTAGGAAGTAACTACGCCTTTTGATTCAAAAGACCATAAAATTTAGACTACAGTCGCTGGATATGTATTATTTAAGTATCTGATTCACCTGGGAATTTATTTGCTTTCTTGCTACTAGCATGCTCGAAGCAGATGAAATTCAGGATCGAAAAGATAAGTGATTTCAATTAAAAGTTTTTAAACTATTAACTACAAATAGACAATTATAATCCAGAGGAACTAGGGAAAGAAAAAGATTATAAAATCTCCTTTGCTTAAACATCGACATATACAAAAATCAGGAAATTAAATGACAGAAAATTCTTCTTAGTACTTCTGATTACTTCAAAGGTTTTCTTCATCAAACTAAAAAGATATAGAAGTATAATTTACCACATAGTTGCTACCGTAATATTTCTACCTCATGGATTTTCCTACTAGTTTCATTTTAAACCCGTGTCCTAACATTGACATGAGGATGAGTTTAACAATCAACTACGACATTCAACGTTTTACCCCGGAGGCATAAGACCTAATATAAGAGACCACAGACCCATTTCACCGTAGCACCACCTTGACTGCAATTATCATCACCATGAATGCACTACCAGAAAATAAAAATCGATGAGTAATTTCAGCATTCAATGGGTATTCATTAATCATCTCATATTTCAATTATTCAACCATTTCCTTTTCCCAAGTTCAATGTTAGCCAGATTAGTCAACATTTATACAATGTAACAACAAGATATTATCTGTAACAAGTAGGTTTGTTGGTTGAGACCCGATTATCATCACCATGAATACATGAAAAAAGATATCCAAGATACAGGTTACCCTCTCAACCAAGTAAATAATTAACTAACCAACCAAAAGACAGTGTCAGGACATGAGATATCCACATTTAAGCCTTATAGGAAGTGAAATTGATTCAATTGATGACCACAGAACCGGATTAGACTGTGATGCATGATTTGAGAGTTATGCAAATGACGAAGTAATGAGGAATTGCACAGTACTACACCTTGACATGACAGTTGAGATAACAGAATGGGAACAGCTTGGCTCTGAGGATAGAGGAGACACACTACCAAAATTGTCCGCCATCTGTATATACAGAGTGATCAATCATCACGGAACACTTGATGTACTGCAGACACTCATTTGGAAAACAGAAATCGTAATTTCAGAATAATAGAATTTATCAATCGACCTGTTTTGCCAGATTTTGGAGCTCTTCTGAATCTTTATCTGGAAACCATCCTCTTTGACAAGCACTCTAGCATACCATTCAGAGTTTCAGAAAAAAAGAGACAGAAAGAGGTAAAGATTTAACTATATACAACTTCAGGCCAACGAATGGTTACATTATATAGAGAAAATAGTAACACTCCAAGAAACTTTACAGGCCACAAAAAGGGGGGGATGCAACAGCTCCCGCCACCATAATTTAAATGAGGAACGCTAATTTTGCACAGTGAAATGCTTTAGGATCCCAATCTACCGCTTAACAAACATTAATACTTTCACAAAGAATGAATATGTCAAGAAGAACAATTTTGCACCATAAATTTCCAGGTTGTCACATTGCAAACGGACAAAGTAGGTAGGACCATATGCGAATGCTGTTAACATAAGCCACCACATTAAGTTCTTGGCATTTCTAGCTTTTCATAAACTAAATCATTAACCTAGCCTTGGTTACTTAGGAAGTAAAAATTCACCATGTGCTAATGGGACAAGTCACATACAGCGTTGCAGTTTATAAATATACATGGACAATAAAAAACAAGAATCTTCCACATAATATGTACTTTGTCAGGGAGTCGGGATGTTCAACTAAATAAGTTACTTAAAAAACACCAGAATTTATTAGCATCCAGAGTGGAAATTACATACGAACATCCTCCAGTCAGATAGCATTGTAGTTCATAAATATGAGTGATTAACTGTTCACGAGTAATGCTATAGGTACATAATGTTGTACATAGAGTTGTACATAACACTCACATTGAGTGGGACCCACTAAAATTAAAAAATCAAGTGGACCCCACTCCATGTGAGTGTTATGTACATCTTTATGTACATTTATTATGTACATGTAGAATTTTTCATTTGTTCACATAGTAAATTCTATGAATGATGAACAACATTTGCTCACAAAGTAAATACTATGTACTAAATCTTGCTCAACTATGCTCACATAGTACATTGTACTAATCTGCAGGCTCAACTAAATCTTGCTAAAAAATCAACAGAACAGCACAAAATGATTGCTGGCCGATGGACTTACCTTAACGGATATCATGAAAACCATAATAGCTCCAGTGAAAGTACTAATTTTACACTGGCACACCTACAAAAGAAATGATTAATGAATGCTGAACTGAATTATAAATGCCACAGATCATTACTTTCTAACACATCAACAAGTAAAACAAAATCTTACCCTATTAGGAGCCAAGACTAGCAAAGCATGAACATTGAAATGCCAAAGATAAAATGGTAACACGAGCGGCATAAATTTTTACAGCCTTTCGGATTAACCAACAAAGTCAGACCACCAACTAAAAAAGAACAACGAATCTCAAACCCATGACAGCTTTATACTTGGGATAAAAAAGAGAGAAAAAAGCATACTATCCATTGTCATTACAATGGTGATATGAATGGCATCATCAGTAACAGACAAGCAGAATGTTTGTGGTGATCACCAAATGAAGTAAGCAAACCAATTTATCAGTCATAAAGATACAATTTCAAATTAATTGGAAGTAAGATTAACTACTAGACACGTTACAAATAACAAAAGTGGAAAACAGATGCCAAATATATCTAATACCCAGTTAAGAACCCATATAAACTTGACATTTGTTGAAGACAATTCAAATTGTTAGTAACACACACACACACCCACACACACACACATATTCACATATCATTGCAGGAAAACAGTCTAATTGCATAAAAACCATTATCTTTAAGTCAAAATCATCTTTTCTTTGCAAAATTAAGTGGTTGAACACAGTCAGTAAAGAAGTAGGGTTAAAGTAATGAGCTGATGATTTTTTCCCATTTTTCTGATTGCCCAGAAGGCCATGGCCCATAGCTATTTTCAGGAAAACTTAATCCTCAAAATTAAAAAACTAAATTGGCCACCACACCCAATTTTTCAATGTTAACTATTACAAGAACCACACAACACCATTCCTAGAACAGGAATTACCTGATCCTTGGAGACCTAAAACTCAAAACGGAAATCTTACAGCCCTTACCTTTTACCAAATAAAGCGCTTACACGGGTTTCTAAAATTTCAAAGTGATGATACAAAACTCTGAAAACTAAAACAAGGATCAGCGTATAAAAATATCACCTGCTTTGCTAGTGAAGGCAACTCGTGAGCTCTACTTGGCAACTCATGATTAGCAATGGCTACATCGATACCTCTGTGTTATCCAGTTATGGGGGCAGAGATAAGGAGAGAAAAGTAAAAAGATAAATCACAATATCAGATTAAATGCATTGAGATGTACAGATGGATGAATAACTTCTGCATTTGACTATGCTTTAGTTAGAGAACATAACAGAAGAATAGAAACCAAGGGAATGTGCTTGAACAACAAAGAAGGGGCATATAGGCTATCACCATTAACATATAACTTTCAAGGTCAATCATAACAAAATAATGCGATAAATAATGTGGTTGCTCTTGCTGAAGCCTCTTTATAAACTGAAATGAGTCATTCGCCATCCGAGCGTCCGAGCATAAGGTGGATTATCAGTATGCTTTCTCGTGTACAATTGATGATTTAATAATTAACTAGATTAGTAACTACTAAAGAAAACGAGAGAGAGAGAGAGAGAGAGAAGAATGTAAAAGTTAATAAAAGCAGTATGTGGAAGCTGAGATGATGCAATCATAATATGATCCACCAGAGGTGAGATGTAAGAAAATCAATGTACATAAGAATTAATAACTAAAATGCTGAATGCATCTCATCTTAGTCTGGCCTCATCAAAGAACTAAAATTGGGATCCCTAATAAGATAATATCTGAAACGAAACTTCTGGCTTTCAGTAATGTAAGATAATTCCAAATAACCATAAACTATGCAGAAAGCTAATGAAGAATTCTACAGGTTTAGGAAACACCAGTCAGAGTAAGTTACTCGATAAAACAGCAACATAATGTAGGAAGGTGAAGCAACGGAATAGCCTATGCAGGAACGGCTGTACCCACTAAAAATACGGGCCTAAACAGAGGCTGTCGCGCAATAAACACAGAAACCAAAACCAACGAGCAGAAAAGCCCAGACATGAATACATGAGAACATCAGCTTTGTCAAAAACAATAAAGCAAATAACATTACACGCGTACACCTAATCACCGACTGGAAGATGAAAAATAAAAACAAAAGGTTCAAGTACTCATATATCAACTCATTCTAAACAGCGCAAGAGAAACTTTATCCGGAGAAAGTACCTAGCGAGTGAAAGGCAGAGGTTGAAGAACTCCTGGGCGTCGTTCTGACGCTGGCCGCGCACATGAAGGTTTAAACGATCGATTGCTACTGAAATGCGGAAATCGTTCAACTCCGACGGGTTTAAGTCGTTGTTCAGGGCCCCGACGCCGCAGTCCCCACCGCCGGACGGGACTAACCCGGGCAGCGGCGCCTGCGTCACCGCCGTGCCAGCCATCGTCCTCTCTCTGTCAGTCTGTCTATATACCCTTTTTTTTTCCTTTATCCGATGTGGTGGGTGGGCCTTTTGAAGGAAAACGCATTTTACACCTCAACCTCCGTTAAATAGCAACATTTTCTAAATACTCACTCCTAATTTTTTTATTTTTTTTTTCACTTTTAAAGTTAATAAATTATTACATAATCTATTTTTAAAAAATTACTAGCACAACACTGTATATTACATGGTTGTTTGCTAAAAAATTATTCTTAAATTTTAAACTTAATGAGAAAATTATTTTAAATGTTATTTACGTTTTTACAAATAATATACATTATTATATATTTTAGAATAACAATTGTTACTTGTGCGACTTACATGTGTCATATTAAAGTTATTTTATAACTTATATCATATAACTACTTGAAATATAAATATACTAATTGATAAATAATTTTATTTTTCTCATTAATATTAAAAATAATTTTATTATTGTTATAAAAATAAATATAATTTTTTTTACATACAATATGGATGTTAAATCAAATTCCACCAAGAGATGATTAATTTGATATATTATATAAGTAAAATTGGTAAAAAAAAATACAAAAGTTGTTACCTTTTAAAATACATTTACAATTCAATGGTTGATTATAATAAGAAATAACATTAAATGCAATTAATGCATACAACATGACAATAAATAATCAACATATTTATAGATAATCCGGACCTAATTATTTTTGGTTTGGAAGTAAAATAAAATCTACTCAAGCCTACGAAGCATGTAATTTTTCCACATAGGATTCCAGGGGCGGAGCCACCCTAAGGCTAGGGTGGGCTCTAGCCACATGTAATTTTTTGCTAACCTTATTTATTAAAAAATTTATACATAGACTAATAAGCCCCGTGTAATTTTTTATGTAGCCCATTTAATTTTGAGCTGAATGCCTCAAGGTTGTCTTCAAGTCAAAAATTTTTTATCTTACAACAATGGTGGAAAAATGATGATTCTAGTGAGGAAAAAAGATAATCATTTATTGTCAAATAACAATTGTGATCTTATTAGATTTTTATCAATTGAGTTTATAATGTGGTCTAACACACTCTTGCCTTTTAATTTTTTAATGGGTTGACTTGACAAATATCAAATGAGCTGGATAATTAAGCTTGACACAAACTTCTCCAACGAGCTATTTAATTGAGTTCGTCTCATTCCACAGCCTGTTATCCATTTTCATTTATTTATTTATTTTTGTTTTGTTTTTTTTTTGTTGATTTCGCCTCTAATAATTATTTCGGCTTCATTTCCTAGACAAAGAGAAAACTCGTACAAAGTTAGATTGCAAACATGTTCGACTCTATTTGTTTGATCGACAAGTTCGATTAGCTATTTGAGCTTGGCTTGTTTAAATATATAAGCGATTCGAGATTGAGTTTTCCCAATTCAAACCGACATATGTTAACAAATAATTTGTTTCTAATCATAACCATAACCAATTACAGGTCGAAAACATCGCGAACATAGGTACAACCGGTTCATTGAATTGTCGGTTATTGGTCGTCCGATTCATTAAAAAATAATTAAAATAATACATTTTTTTTTAAAAAAAAAAAGGCGAACCTCAGGTTCCGGTTTCAATTCGAAACCGAAACTACATGTTCAAAATGTATAAATTATAAAGTATTGTACATGAACTAAACTGGTCAAAACCACGGGCCAGTTCAAGACCCATGGTTAACGGGCCGATTTGTGTCGGCTCGGGCCGAACCGACAGTCGACCCATGACCATGTCTAAACGGTTCCAATAATAGCTACAATAATATGTAGCCTTTGGTTAAAAAATTTTCAAGCTACGCCCCTGTAGGATTCTGAAACATAAGAACTTACCACTTATGGTCAGCGCATTCTAAATTAATATACCAATACATGAATATCAATATCAATATCAATAAAAAAAAATAAATAGAACTTTTATTGAACGTGAATCTTTAGGCACAAAATTGTTGTTCATATTAGGGAACGGTTAAAGTGCCTTTTCCTTTTGCAGTTGCCCTTAGGTTGACAGTACAAAATTAAAGAATGGTATTCAAAGGGCTTTGACCATATTGGTGAATCGTCAATTTTGAGGGAAAAGATAAAAAGGTCAGATGCTATATATATCATGAATGATGCATTTTATTTTTTCTTTTATAAAAATTAATAGAATGTATATGTGTAGTCTTGCTCACCTGCCCACAGTGGGCAGTGCCCACTAGTTTGTTTTATATGAAAAACGTATTTTCATAATACGTTTTTCAATTAATATGTATATGTGTACGAATGAGTAAAGTATAAAAATGTATTGGCAACCAAGAAAATACATTGCAATATTTAATTTATTTATGAGCATTACTATTTACCGTCCCTTTTTACTAGTCACTGCTTTTCTATGGACGATTTTGTCTTTCAGTACTATCTCTCTATACTCTCTCTCTACTTTTTTTCCTTTCGATTTTCTACGATTCTTTTGACCATCAAAAAAATTTCAAATAAATACCAAAAAAATATCATGACATCGGCAAGACATTGAAGATTGACAATGTGTTTTTTTTATTATTTTACTTTGTAAATAATTTTTTTTTTTTTTACTTTTTTTTT